CGAGGTCATATCATTTTTTGAATTGACTCGTCCTATCGTGACAGTCAGTAGCATGCCATTTATGAACCTTTGAAGGACACATTTTGGCCGAAGATGGAATAATATATTTAATACAAAGACCAAGAGATTATTTGGAGTGACCATGTTTGAATGATCTAGATATACCATGTTCCCTCAATTACTTTACTGACGTTCTCCAAATGTTAAACGTTTAATGTAAACCTTCTCGGTTATTGCAAGTTCAGCTACAGGGATTGTATTGATAGGAACTAATGGAACTACAAATTCTTCACACTATAACAATGTACGTCAACTGTCTTGAATATAATGCAGACATCCACAATAAGACTATAAATGCCAGTTGTGTTTGTTTTTCAAGATGGCGTTAGATACTGAACAATTCAATAGTGATAAACCCTGACAATAAAAAGTATATTATATAACCAGGGTAATTGTTCTAACTTCGAATTTGAAGTGAACAAATTTAAATTTCATTATGACATAAAAACAAAAAAATGGTCATAACTGATATGATGGAAAGAAAAGTCAATTTTCGATTGAATCACTCATGATGAGTTTTACTCAACATTACGTCCGTTTTGATTCAACGTGAGTATTATTCAGTGTAGTATCTGGTTGTTTTCCCAGTATGATATTTTCTTCTGTATAATATAAGATATTCTTGTATTCAGTTGACACAAACTATGTTCAGTAAGTGATTTGTTATAACTGAGTATGTGATTTAATCCTAATCATTAATCAAAATGAGTGTACAATCAATATATAAACCAGTGTATTTTATACTATATTCGATTCGTCGTCGTCATAGTGTTTGAGGGGCTAATAAATCTTCACTTATACCAGTCTTTATGTTCTTACTTTCACATCGTGGGAATTGCCAAGGTCCCTCGTTCCGAGTATAAATGATCAGCGTTTTTTTTGTGCGGCACAACAATAACGACAAACGAATATAACAATAATTGTATTTTTAGTATATAAAATAAATTGAATGAGTCAATCTAAAGAATGATCCATTTAGAACGGATACAAATCAATGGTACACAAAAGAAAAAAACGATGATAAAAATATTCACATATAAAAGTAAAATAAAATAATCATAATGAAATCAGTTCGTTCAAAATATTTCTTATCAACAATAATATACATTTTATATTATGATAAATGAATAGGGGAACAAAGTTATACAACAGTTAATAACCACCTAATTCATTCATATTAGAATAGATGTTGTTTTGGTTCAAGATACATACAATTTGTTCTAACTAATTCTTGTTCTTGTTTTAAATTTTTTGAATTTTGATAAGTAATTTTATGAATATGATTATCATTATAATCACTATTATTTATTATTTCATGATGATTTGTATATTTTGTTTCTATGGTCATATCTAATGTATCATATTCTAATTGACTATATGGTTCATATATAGATAATTGAGATTTACTTATTGGGATATTAGTAGTTAATTGTGTTTTTTCTTGTAAAAAACAATCAGGAATTTCATCATAAATTGTTGATTGATATTTTTCAGATTGTATTGGTATATTGTATCTGGGTATAAATGTTAGTTTAGTGATAGATCTTTGTGGTGTTGGTGGAGTTTGATTACATAGAATAGTTGGTTCATTATTTAAATTTGAAGAGGTTGGTTTTGTAGTAAACAGTACTTTGGAACTACATAAAAATGATAAATAGACTATATATTGTATATATAACAATTTTTTTATGATTCAATTTCTCTTTATTATCATCTATAACTTCGCCCCTTTCTCATCTATAACATATAAATATTATCAGAATGGGTTTTGTGGAGATTTTTAGAAATTTCACAGGTTGAAATCATGAGTCAATTGAAGCTACACCACTATGGAAAACACGGAAGCACTGGACGGCCGTTTCGTCCTAGTATAGGACTCCTCAGCAGTGCGCATCCACGATCCCGCACCCCGCGGGATTCGAACCCAGGACCTATTAGTCAATCTTAATGATCATTCTGAATATGTCGTTTCTTTTTCTTGTTTCTTATATCTCTTTGAACTAAACTTTATTGATTGCAGTATATAAAAATTTCTATAATTATACTATTAACGTAAATTTAAGCTGTTTGTAGCTGATAATAAGCCTTTTAATATAATGAGTTCATGTTATTATGCAAATTTATTGTTCGCACTTTATTTAGATTTATCAAGAGACTGGACTGTATGTATCGGTAATATATTAGCTAGCGGTGCGAATGTATAAAGGTTAATTAATTTTATTCTTTTCATGAATTTATTTTGCTTGATAAACTTAAACAATAGTTGAATTCATGAGTCAATTTAAGCTAAATCACCATAGAAAACTTGAAAGCACTGGATGGTTATTTCATTCTAGTATAGGACTCCTTAATAATGTTCTAGCTTAGATCAACTCATGAATTCAACTATTGGAATGACTACAATCTTCATTCTAAAAATTTAAACAAAACAAAAATCTTTCTACTTAGTTGTATATAAGTTATTGAATTTAATTATTTCAAATTATTGACATACATGGAACGTTTTTTTAAAAAATACGGTGAGACTATAATTTATGGACGACCTTTGAGCGACGCCAGACTAACCTTGACAGTGTTCACCTAATAACCAGGACCAAATAAAGGTTGTAAACCTGTGTGACGAATTACAACTATGATTTACACTTGATGATTTAAGTTAGAAATTAGATTTAAGATTTTCATCATGAATTAACATAAACTATAATACCAAAACCCTATTTATCCAAATGATTGAGTGGATTTCGCGTCAAAATTCGAGATTTGTTATCTTATACCTAATTGGTTCGTTCAGAAATTATAGTCTCACCAAAAAACAAGCAAACAAATGAATTATTCTCAGAAGGGGTTTTGTGGAGATTCTAGAAATTTCACTAGCTGAAATCATGAGTCAAATGAAGCTAGACCACCATGGAAAACGTGGAAGCACTGAACGACCGTTTCGTCCTAGTATGGGACTCCTTCCTGACAGTGCACATCCACGACTTTGTGGATTGGTGGAAGTTAGACATTAACAACACCGTTGGATACCGGATCAGTGGTCTAGTTGGTTAAGTGCTCGCGCGTGAAACCAGTAGGTCCTGGGGTTCAAACGGATTATTCATTAGAAAATAGCAAAGGATATAGAATTATGTAATTGTAATTGCAATTTAAGTAATAACTATGTAACATTCAATAACAAACATGTAAATCATCTATATTATGTAATAATATCTATTGTCAAATGATTATGATTAGTGTATTTCAAATAGTGTACACCATTCATAATACACCTAGTTTTTCTTTACAAAAAACAACAACAATATTATTATTATGACTGTTTATAAATGTATTATAGATCGTATTTGTAAAATATTGTACACTTCACCATTTCTGTTTACAGTTGAATTGTTCATTATTCTAAAATTATAGCAGTTATAGACAAGTAATACTGAAAACTTGTATTCGCATATATATAATATACATTCACTTCTGATCAATACTCTTATATAATATAAATAAACAATTATTTTATTTTTTTTTAATTTTGAAAAATATTATTCATTAAATTAATTCAATATCTCATTAGTAGTCAAGTGTATTTATCAAATTTGAATTAAGTTCTAACTAAAATATAATTTTAATTCCATAGAGATAATTACACAACCACACATACACACACAAGGTAAACACGTTGTATGTATGATAGGAATGAAATAAACTAAACGAAATTGGATGATCACTTTAAGACATTTATATTCAGTTTCAAGTTAGCAAACTCAGCTTGGAGCCCCTCTAGGGCCATTGTCGGTTCTAAGCTCGGATAAAGGAGAAGGGTTGGGCATGGGGTTAGCCACACCATCCCGTAAAACACGAATTCATTAAAAAAAACGCTAACCAGAAAAAAATTATTTAGACCATTTAAACTCTGCCCTGGGAGTCAGAAGGCTTTCATTTAGAAGAGTTATGATGTCTCATGTTGAAAGTCGAGTTCCTATAGAAGTCACGAGGCGGATGTTCCTTCTGATAATCAGAGCAACCATTTACTTAGATACATGGAATGCTAGTACACTGTGGGAGACCGGGAGAGTCTTCCAAATTGCTGCAGAAATTGCTTCAAATTAGCAACCCAATATATTCTTGATTGAAGGGATTAAACAATTTAAAACTATAAATGATAGTTGATTGATCGAATTTATTATGCATTAAATTAGAAGTCAAAGTAAATGGTTAAGTACATCACAAATATTTTATTATTTTCATCTGATTTGGTTTAGAAAAGATAGATTTTTACAGAGAAAGTATTTTGCGAGATCTCGAAAAATGTTTAAACAACATTTGGATTTAATTGATTGTGTTTTACATTGTTGCTGAGAAATTTAATATTTTTGTGAAGAAACAAATATTTCAAAATTGTTATAGATCTTCTGAGAACTTAATTGAGTTTAACTCTATTTATATAGGCATAGGAAACTAGGATGAATGGTGACTTGGCATACGCTAAACATTACTCAACTACTACAGTTTACTGACGTTCAAAATAATATATCGATTCATTTGATTTTAATTTTAGAATCTTTGCCTGAGATTTCTAACTCAGTAGCTTCAATAGTCTTTAAATGGTTTAAATCAATTTCGGAGAGAATATATTTAAATCTTTCCTCTTCATCTTCAGTATATATTTGGAGTATAGCTAAGTGAGCAACTAAGAAAAGAACACAGGTTAGTGCACTTGATTTTCGGCAGCCTGAGAGATATCACTTTGTTCCTGTGGTTAATTACACCATAAAAGAGCAATAGTTTGATATAGAAGTTGAAATTCGACTTTACCCTTTTTGATTTCGTGATATCCCAAAGATGCAATCACTTAAGAAGTACTGACAGGAACTCATCGTGTAAATACCTTTTTTTGCTAAGTAAAGACTTCGTCAAAAGTATTCTGATTTTAGTAATTTAATTTTTTTATATTGTAGCAACTAGTGGTCAAAACCTCACCTTCGTATTAAAAACCATAATCAAGGAGATCTTCATGTGCAGCAAAACTCCCGACTTTACTGAGATTTACTAGACTTCAACTCCTAACAATCTGAGGTAAAAAGGCTCTCTTCAGGAAAGATTAGGTTGATAGATGCCTCATTGCTCTTATCGTACTAGATAAATCTATCATTTTATTGTTGACCAATTTTTCATACCCTCCAATTGATTTTAGGGCTGAGTTGGTTTTCATATCTCTATGTATTTTTTTATGACTCGAAACTGATGCTTATGAAAGTCCCCTTATTTATTGTCCTTAAACTTTCGAAGTCGAAGTAATTGACAGGTCGAGTGACAATCTACAACTAGACAACAATAAAGTAAACACACATGAATACAGCGGTTAGACTGCCAGATATGAAGTGATTCACATCATAAAGTTGGTTTCATAGATAACATTGAATCTGCTCCTTTTATGTTAGAATGGTTATTGTTTAGTCACTTGGTAGACTTATAGATCTCGTCTATTTCACATTGTATGAACAAGTGTTTAGAAACTTTTCATTATGCATAAAATTTACTATTTTATCTTTTTTCTTGTCATTTAAACTTTATTATTTGTCAGTTGGCTAGGAACTGGATGATGAAGCTAAGAAGATAATTTTTCACTAAAAGTGTTTTCATTCACTGATTCGTTTGCGATAATCATTCAAAGCTTCTCAGTAAACTTTAATTCTCAGTTATTGAATATAAACTATTTCTTCTGTATTACTCATTTTGAATTGTTGATAATACGACTGGTAATCAATGAGAGGTATATAAATACATATGGAAAAAACACTAGCAATGCATTATCTATTTTTGAAAAAAAATCAAGCAAACCTTTACGACGTGACAAAATATTTTACCCAAATGTTGCAATCATGTTAGTTCTCATTTAACAAATAAGTGTGTATAGCGTAAATGAAACTTAAACTTTAAAAGTCCTTATTAACAATTGAATAATAGCATCGACTTACATTATAGGTTCACGATTCCAACCCATTCTATAGAAACCACATAAACGTTTTTGTCTCCAACAAATATAATATAATATTCCACATGAAATAAGACACAGAACAATAAATACGCTGATAAGCATATATATCCAACTGTTATTTGCTTTTTCTATTACCTAAGATGATAAAGATATTTCAGAAAAAATATGCGAGTGAAATAGTTATCGGGATGGGTCAATCAGAATTGAGGATGTAAGTTTTAAACTTTGTACAAAATTCAACTATCATTTATAACAAATAGAAGAGATATCTTTCTATATACCTTAAAATATTTAAAATGATTGTGGACAATTACTTTTTTGCCATAACTGAATAACAATGATGATAGTGAACAATATAAAATTTTAAGTTCTGTCTCTAGGTAACACATAAAAGATAAATAAACACTATCCTTAAATTCTGAACCTCAACACAATCATAAAACAAATCTTAACTTGATAGTACTATATATGTTATAGGCAAACTAATTTATCCATCCATTTGTCCGTACAGAATTTTTCATTATGGCTGATGTCAGTTATTGATAAAAACTCCAAACCTAAACTCTTAAACTATACTCCGAATAACTACCTTTATTCTATTAGAAAAATCTATTAGAGTATTCACAAGGGTCTGAGAGGTTAATTTTTAGTTAAGTTTACGTCTGTTACTCCTCATGGAGGAGCATAGGCCAATCACCAGCAGACTCCATCCAATACTGTCCCACGCAATCCTTTCTAGCTCCTTCCAGTTGTTGTTCATCCTTTTCATATTTACTTCTATTTCCCGACGTAATGTGTTCTTTGGCCTTCCCGTTTTCCGCTTCCCTTCAGGATTCCAAGTTAGAGCTTGCCTCGTGATGGGGTTTGATGATTCGCGTGATGTATGTCCTATACATTTCCACCGTCTTTTCCTAATTCCCTCTCCAGCTGGAAGCTGAATGGTGTTGCTGATGGTATCCGGTCAATGGATGTTGTGTATCTTGCTTAGACAACTATTTATAAATATTTGTACCTTCTTGATGATGGTCGTAGTAGTTCTCCACGTTTGAGCTCCGTATAGTAGAACTGTCTTGACATCCATATTGAAGATTGTGACTTTGATACTGAAAGTTGAAAGCTGTTTTGAGTTCCATATATTCTTCAATTGTAGGAATGCGGCACTTTCTTTGCCTTTACGTCTAAATCTGGTTCTCTTTGCTCATCGATGATGCTTCCCACGTACGTGAAGGATTCCACTTCTTCCAGAGTTTCGTCATCAAGTGAAAGCCGAGTTCCTTTGAGAGGTCAGATAATTCGTATTTGTAAGGACGAATTGATGTGTGATGTTTTACAACTTAAAAGCAAACTAACATGCGAAATACATTAATAGACTCAGTAGATATGTAAAATTGATTTACAATTATAAATATAATTGTTGTTTGTTTTCCATAAATTATTTTCTTTACAAAGATTGTTTACTGGTTGGCTACTAACCGGTTAAAAGTTTGTCGCTGTTTTTTTTCAAGTTTGTCCTTAAACTATACTTTCGCAAGAAAAAGTAAAAATTTTAAATAGTTGAAATCATGAGTCAGTTGAAGCTAGACCACCATGGATTGGTTGAAGTTATACATTAACACCGTTGGATGCCGGCTCAGTGGTCTAATGGTTAGGTGCTGACGAGCGATACTGATAGGTCCCGGGTTCAAATCTCGAGGGGGGAAGGATCGTGGATGCGCACTGCTGAGGAGTCCCATACTGGAACGAAACGGCCATTCAGTGCTTCCATGTTTCCCATGATGGTATAGCTTTAATTGACTCATGATTTCAACTATTGAAATTTCTAAAATCTCCACAAGATTAGTAGTATAAAACTAATTACTGATAAGTTTTTTAGCTAAAAGATTTTATGATAAACGTAACTGATATTCACTAATACATGCTTTTAACTTCTTTCCTTCAGTTTGGATAACAGGAATTAAAGTATAAATTAGATAGATAAATTAAAAGGGTTTCAATAGACTTTTATGAAGTCTTTATAAATGCTGAAGATAACAAGTGATTTATTTATAATCTAACATAAATCTGTCTTATAGTCAGAAAACCATCTTCAATTTTATAAATTTTCAATAAGATTATCGTAGGTTCGATTTTAAAAACGTACTACATAGATTCAATCAAAAGATATGTATTCAATTTAACTATATCTCTGGAAAATAACTTTCATTTACTAAAGTCCTTAAAATAGATAGGTTTACTAGTTGACTCAGACTACTAGTATAACAGTTTTCTTGTAAGTACATTATTTTCTATTCAACTATACCGAATAATATGCCATTATTTGAGTAAGTAATAATCAAGTAATAACCCAATATTTTCCAATGAGTCCAATAATATCAATGTTAAGGAACAATGAAAGTAAACTTTTTGAAAACAGCGTATATGATAAAAATTCGATAATCTATCAGCTAGAGATGATATATAATAGTTTCAGTTACTAACATTTTCCTAACAAAATGTATATTCATCTTTTAGTGCATTTGAGTATAGACACAGTATTAGTTTACAGATGTAGCGTGGAGTCGAGTCGCGGTTGACTATGAACACCACTACAAGAAGACTACGTGCCAGTTAACCAATAAGATCCTCCGTAAGCCAAATATCAAAAGGCAGTTGATGTCTGTAGTCGAGATGTATTTGTTGGCGATCACGTGGTATCGAAAGGATACCGAGGTCGTGCCAAAGGAGTACAAGCGTGGTTACCGAGCGTAACCGAACCCGTGCAAGGTCATAGTCGAAAGATAATGGAGCAGTAATATAGCCGTCTTTAGCACAGTTAAACAAACGAGCACAGTAAAACAGTCACTGGTACAATCGGTTATAATAATAATTGTTTTCATTAAACTAATCGTGTTCTCGTGATAAAAGTAAGTCACTACACAGGTAATAACATATCTGTCACACATTTTTCATTTTTTTACTCTAAGATACAAATTTGTTGCTAAATGTAGCAGAAAATGACACATAAATAAAACACAAAATACAAATTATAAAAAGTTAAAATAACAAACCGATATAACGTTCAGATGAAAGTACAATATTTTACCAATGGTAAGTAATTAAAAAGATTATGAACTTATCAGTTTTTAAGGAAATGGTATGTTTTAAATTTCTAGTACTTCTTTTTTATCTAATAAATCTTCATGATTATCTCAACACAATATAAACAGTAAACATTACTCTGTGATAATTTCAAAATGTACGATCTTCACTAACCAATTAACTTCATGATAATCTTTTACTCACTAGCCATAAGTTTTCAGAATAATCTACAGGAACTTTATTCCCGAACTATGACTGATAGAGTTTCACTTTATCAATTGTGAGACAGCTGGCATTTTGTTCGCTGAGCTGGACCAAAACATCCAGCTCAGAGAACAAAACTCCATCAAAATCATCCATCTGAGATACAAATCTTCTCCACCATTTCATAGCTATCATTTGATGATGTTATATAATGATCATACTATATCACGAATCGTGAAATATTCATTTTTGACTCTCTAACTTAAAGTTTCCAAACTTTCCATTCTGTAGTGTGGTTGTAAGTTTCCACTATCGAGAACTCCAAAGTGAGGATTATACAACAGATTTTCAATAGTTCTTAAGCTGATATCAGTACTTGAAGTAAACTAACTACAAACAATTAAACAATTGGTATTACTCTTGCAAGATTCATATTGGAGTTTAAGATAAAATTCAATTTCATTTAAATCATAAACCGATGAAAGTTGAAATACTATTGAAAACTGGAAGCACTGGATAGCCGTTTCGACTCAGTTCAGAACTCCTCAGCATTACGACCCCACAAACAAAAGTTTCGGGACCGATTCCCGGCAGCGGGGTCGCGGATGATTACTCCTGAAGAGTCCCGTAATGGACCTTAACGGTCATCTACTGCCTGCAGTTTCCGATAGTTTTCTAATTTAAATCGTGGTCTCAATGTAATTCAACAATCTCTGCAATCACGTACTGACAATAAAATTAAATGTTTTAAAAATAAATATTACTTTTCTTACTATTACGTCATCATTGTTGTTTTCTAATGAGACGGTTGATAAATTTACTCTTTTAAAATTTATAAAGTCAGGTAAACCATTTGAATTAACCATGGGTTTATAATGATCAGGCCATAAAGTTGGAGGTGTGTTACAACGTAGACCAGTCCACTGATTTTGACAAAAACAACGAAAATTTCCATAGAGATTTTCGCACATTGAATTTACATTACAAGATGATGTTATATGGTGGTTGATATTAATACTTTTGTTGCTACCATTATTATTCGGTTTCATTGAACACTCATCTATATCCAATTCACACCTGTTAACAGTATAAAAATAACATTAGTATAATACGGATTATCAAGAAACAGAAAGAAGGAAAGATAACAAATAAATGCGATTGTAGGAGATTGTGAAAATTGTTGAACGCCATAGTTTAAATCATAGGGTGATCTGATTTAAGCAACCAACTAAACCAGAAAGCACTGGGCAACTTTCCCGTCCTAGCACGTGAGTCCTCTGTGGTGTGGACCCACGACCCAATCAGAGGTCCAACCCAGGACCTTCAGGATTCGTCGTAAACGTTTAACCTTTAGACCACCGATCCAGTATCTCATGGTCTACATCGCTACCATCAACCGATCGGTGACACTCTGCAGCCATCTCCTGCGAGATTAGTGGGTAAATGTTTCACACTCAAAATGTTTGGACACCTTAGATTACGGTCTGTCACTAGAACTCCATAAAGTGCTTCTACAAATTAGTCACCGATAAACACATGATATCGTAACAACCTATCATGAGTATATTAGGCGAGCTTAAGTAGTATAGACGATAATATTCCTGAAGGTTATCTAAATTGATGTTTGGTAGTTGAAAGCGATCGTTAGGGAACCTTGAGTCTAGAAGTGAGATAGTCATCACTCTTCATCAGGCTTTGTCGACAAGTTTAATGAACTTGATGTCATTCACGAGACTCACACTTTCTTAATTCGCTGCTGTTGCCAAAACCGCTGCCATTGAGCTTTTTTAGAACACAACTGGTCTTGTCTAGGATTAAGATATTTACACCTACTGATCACTGAGTAATTACCAAGGTTGTATTTATCTACTCTATAGTGCCGATCTAGTTCCATGGATTGAGTTACACTCTTGGCTCCGAACTAAAGGAGTTGAAAAAGCGTGATACTTTTCACATGATGTCATTTGATTAAGAACACTAACAGGAAGCCCTGGGACTAGATATTGTACAAATTAGTACATACTAGCAAGGTGGATATGGGGTCTTTTTAAATCTGCAAACCAGTACTTAAGTTGGTTAAATTTGATAGTGTTTTTGGATATCGCATTATTGCGATTTATTCCTGAGACTGAGTCTATCAGATTCTGTTGACGTTTCAAGTTTTTTAAATAAATACGACTAAAAATACTTGTATTTGTAGTTTGAAATTATCTTTACTGTCAAGCTATAGCCAAAAAATATTATCCTTAATGAAAGCTTCACGTTTCACGTCATAATTTCAACCGTGGTTAAATTAGTTCTTACTGTTGAGACTCATGCAATTATTTATTGATTTGAATACATAAATGTTGGTACAAAGGGGCACAGAATACACATGCGCCATACAAGTCACTTGATTTGTATGTGGGCTGTGATATTGTCCGAGTGCCCAAACCGAAGCAGGTGGTTTTCTCAGAAGGCCTTACACTGAACCTTCGACCTAAAGGTCTGATCCACAAGGCAGAGGAGCAACGTCAGGAGATTCAGTCCTATGATAGCCGGCTACCAACGATTGATTTATACGCCATCTGTTCCCTCAGGATACTGGAGCCCATGTGCACCGTCGGTTTGGAATTAGGGTTTTCAAAATTCCCTAGGTGGATCCTCCATATCCATCAATCCGGTTAAAGCGCGAGATATTTGCTTTCCATCCTCTCAATTTCGTAAACAATACCACTGGTGCGAGAGGGCAGTGAGCAGGACTTCTGTGGGAGTGGCTGTATACTCATTTTGAGAGGGAGAGCTGACTCTTCCTACCCTCGGCTAGACTTGTGGCAAAAGAATTAGAATTAAATCACAAATGTTAATACGGCAGACATCCTTAAACATAAATCGTCATATGTGAAATCACCTAATTTGTTCCAAAAAGCATCTTGGATAGTGTGCTTATGTAAAATGAACGGTTGTTAATGACCTTGTGATTTTTATCATTTTATCAGTCAGTGTCTAAAGAAGTAGAAAGAATTACACGAGTCTGGCTTTCGAAGAAAGCTTATCGAAATTCTAATTCCATAACTTATATGCAATCTGTTGAAATTAGTGTTTGAATTTAATATATTATTAACATTATATTCAATACACATTATAAGCATATTTTTATACATTTAAATTCAATCAGTCTGGATTACCGTTTGCCTGTAAACCCAGGTATACAAGCACAGTATGGAATTGGATTGGATAAACTCCTGTTTCCTTCATCAAGATACTTTAGTAAGCAAAATCCATTTTGACAAAAATCTTGTAATGGACTGCATTGATTCGGGGGTTCTGAACAATGTGGTCCTGAAAAGAAGAAATGAAAACTTTTCTAACTTAACCACTTCCGGAAACTTATTGTCGTGGTCATTCACTATCTAGCCGTTACACTAAGAAAAAAACTATATGTTAAACGACGTTTCTTATGAACGAAGCAATTTGTGTAGTATAAAGATTGACCTAAAACATAACACGCTTGTAGATGATAAAACAATGTGACAATGGAATGTTTCACGAAATTGAAGTTAACAGCAGTAAAATAGAAAGGCGAATAAATGAGAAAACAAAAATATGAGACAATATACTGGTGTAAATGTACCACTTGGCCATATTACATAACTGTTGTAGTTGTCGATGTCTCGTTCCTTATAGATAACAACTAGAAAACGTATGGTTATTCACCAGGTGATAACTAAATATGGATGAAAACACGTATGACTATTGTAACTTGACGTGATTATAAGAAGACTTATCTCATTGGATGTGGACGTGGCAAACGACAGTAATTGACCAGGAATTAAAACGTCTATGGTCCCACTAAATGAAAATTTATTTCAGGCAAATCAGTATGAGACTTAGATATTCATCAATATCAGACAAACAACTTATCGATAGTAATCTTTTTTATTAAACTTCAAAAGCCTATAAGCAAACATTCAAATTTATTTTACCCTGACATAGTTGTGGCGAATTCTTGAAATATGCTGTTACACTTTCTAGGTTTAAGAAGATTGTGGAATGGAAAATAATTTGCTTTTTTTCAACCAACAATAATCTTGTCACCATCTGGCTCTGTAATCAAATCTCATTGTGATAAATCAAACGAGACTTAGCCAAAAAGTGGCAACATCTGTTTTAAATCATGTATGAAGCTGATATATCCCATAGACCTCAAAGAATTAATGGCTAATTGGTGGATCATGTTGACTTAACGCCTACAATTTAAATGGATAATAAACTTGGTTCTTGTAAACAAATAAATAATGTGTTCAAATTTGTTCTGTTCGTAACTTGATCGGTCGGAATATTTTAAGGGTAAATTATGTCTAAAAGTATAAAGACTGTTTACTCCTAAGACGCTGCACTGCTTTTGGTAAAACTAATCACTATCCAAGAAAAACTGTGCGCTATAATCTGTTACATTTCAAGTTTTAAGACAATGAGACTTAATGATGGGAAAAGTGGCGAGAAAATTTGCAGAACTAATCACAAAAAGCAATATAAATAGCCAAACATAGTCATTTAACCACGCAAATTAGTATTTTGGAGCAGTCGAAGATTTTGGTCTCTTAAAACAGCTCACTATTTATGGTCATAAATTTTAGGAGTGTTTTTATTAGAATTTGATAACATACCTGTAAAATTAAGTTTACAGGAGCAAGTGTATCCAACATGAGTATTAGTACACGTTCCCATGGGGCCACATGGTGTTAGTATACCACAGTGATCAACTTTGTTACATTCATCACCAAACCACCCTAGTTTTTCAGATTAGAAGAAAAGTGAAAATAAATACTGCTGACTAAATCTTGCCAATTAATGATTTTTCTAAACCTCAACTCTACTTCATAGTTATATTAGTAAAACCATGAGAATCAAACAAGGCATATATAATTTTCACTACACCTGTTCCGACGGGTTGTCATTAACTTGCTGACTATGGGTCAAACTTTAAATCTCAAATATGCTTCATGCTTGATAAAATATAACTTGTCGTTAACATAAGTATTTGTGATTTATACGCCGACAGTTCGTGAAAATATCTAGAAATGAAAGTACGGGACTTATGAATGTAGCTTATAAAGACCACATTTCACCAAAATCCATTTAGAGATCGGTTTATTTATTTTTGAGCATGAGACAGTAAACACATTTAGTGCATCTGTGTCCGTGCAATATTCAAACCGAACAAGTAACTATAAGGCCTAGCTAGTTGCTTTGTTGTAGGATGGAAATTTCCTTTTCTAGGTGGCATCTGTTAACAAAAACCGCAGACAAACAGAGGAACTATTACTAACAGCACATGCGTTGGATAAAGTAGTGGGTTAAAATTAAAAATAATACCAATGTTTTGGAGCAACTTCTAAAGTTGGTTTCATCTGGGAATAAAATTATGAAGGGATGAGATATTTTTAATCTTAAGGGTGGAGTCTTATCAAATAAGATAAATATACGGAGATTACGTTGGATATTCAGAGATAATCTACGTAAAGACTTGAATGTGTGTTGCTTATTAAACCCTATTAACATCTAGATGTTCGGTTATCTAATCTGAAGTCACTCCAGAGATATTAAAGGTTTAAGAACCTCTTGGAGGTTTAACATGATTAAACACGATTCCACAAGCCTTAATAAAATCATAAATGTTCATTAATATACTTAGAGCTCCTAAAACTAAACTTGTACTGATACTAATATCTAACTAAGCTAATAATCCTTTTGCAATACCTTAAAGAGTCAGTAGAATGATGATCCGAGAACATTTAAAACCTGACATAATATTGTTGACCCTCGAAAGTTCTTACAGACACAGTTTTGAGGTGAAACTCATACAGACATCAAAAGATTTCCGATTCAGGATAACTTTCAGGTGGTGAGCGATGTTTTCTCAAAGGCAATACATCGTCATGGGCAAATATCCTTTTAGGTAAGCCTGCTCAAGATACATGATTTATTAATAAATCAAAATCAAGAACAGAAAATGCTGTAACCTTTTGGGGTTAAAACTTTACTGATAGTTTAGCCTAACTAGTAATGAACGGAAGCAATCTGAATGTCTTTAATAAAATGTTTCACACTGGTCCTTTCTGAGGAGAGCATTTAAATTAACAACCCCATTATCGTATTTATGGAATTTCTTCATATGGATGAACTTACCAGGAATACACACCTTTGCACCTGTTGAAATATCACAACCATAGTGCCGTACTCTTTTTTGTGGGACGCAGTTGACGCTACAGTCACTTCCATAGCTGCCACGATTACAAACAGCCCAAACTGCTACATACATATTTATGTAATCTTGCGTTATATTTCGAGATATTTTATGATAACGGTAAGAAGAAAGGAGTGATGAACCACCAGTTTCAAATGGATACACAGTGTACATGTATGCATTATCCTCAAATGTTGTCAAATGGTCATCTAAATCAGAAAAAGAATAATCTGCATCCCAAACTTCGATCTTCAAGTACAATTTAGACTGTAAGTTGTTTAACCAAAATATATGAATGTTACCGGAAGTTTGTCTATTATTCTGGACAGTGGGTTTGGTATATAGTCTATTAAATCACCAAAAGATATAGAATTCTGGTTCATTAAAGAAGATTTCGGTGTTCTCATATCTAAAATGTTGCACCCCCTGTTCGATTCTAATTAATCTAAAAAATGGAAACTACCTCGAATTTTGATCACCTATGCAAATTTTAAAGTACAAATCACAGTAATCTGGTCTTGAGAAAGAGTTGCAATGTCCACTTGACGAACTCACTGTAATGTTAACAAACTTTAAGAATAGTGTTGCATATCCGTCTACTTGCGAAGCATTTTCGAAAACTAAATTTGGGTTCAAAGATAAAAATCTGCTTACTGAATGACAATAAAAAAACCAAAGACACTAAATGTCCAATATCCATAAACTAGCGATATCATATAACAACTTGAAAACATACCGCTTATACAAACTGTTTCTATTGATTGGTATAAACAATTTGGTCGGACATGGATAACTGATTTTTACCAGCCGAAAGAAGCACAATTAACACTATCTTTTAACGCCTCTCTTTTTTGTTCATTGGATTGGTACTGCAAATAAGCTCATTATTTCATATTAATGGAATTTATCTATCTACACTTATTTTCTGCTAACAAGCCACTGTAACGCACCTGCAGTAGCAAGTGAATCCGCATGATGATCAGTCTGCTAAGTTCTTGCCAGTAACTCTGAATTCGTGATTTTACTAGATACTCTCGTACCTGAAGGTACTCGGTCAGCCATCCTCACCAGTTCACGTTTGATAAGCCGTTCCACAAATCTCTTATGGAGACTATTCACTGCATACTTCATTCACTTCAAAAAATCGATCATAAATAACACATTTGTAGTGGTATTGGTCCTAATCTTCAGATATGAACGTGAGGTAACTGATAAAGTAGATACTTAACATTTAACACGGAATGAAAGCCAACAATGGTGAACACGGGAATATTCATGCATTCACTCTGATAGCACTGCTCAAATTCTCAGACATGGTCATTCTGCATAACTTGTCTTTATTCATATTAAAAATGTCATCCTATCTTCGGCTTAAATGTGTTCTTCATAAACACAAATTATCATATTGTTAACTGTTAAGATACCTCAAGCCAGTGTAGGCAATCATGTGACTTTTATGTGTAGGCAGTCACATCATGACATATTTACAATTTTAGGATTGGGTTTGTAATTATGATCGTACTAATAATGACGTAGATCATAATTCTACACACACTGCTAAATTACCTTAATTCCGACCTCTGGTTTGATCAGCCTTGTGGTCTTCTTATTATACGAAGTTTTAGAATGAAACGTTGATTAGAACTGCTCAGCCGTGACGTTTTCACGTCGCGAGTTGCGAAGGTGAACGTTGGAACATGGGATGACGTTCACAACTTACTTAACGCTCTCACATGACGGATTTATCCACTATATGATCCGAAAAGTAGTTGCATCCACATATTGCTTGTTTAAAAACTAAAGCACTACAAACTCGAGAATATGTAGTGGCATTGGACCATAACCACCCAATCCACAGAGCTGAACACGAGACCGCCCAGAAAATAGATATTCAATAGTTAACGCGGAGAAATGCCTAACGATGGAGAAGGCGCGAACAAGGAATTGAATGAATAGGGAGTTGGTCGAATGGCATGGCTCGACCATGCAGGCGTGGTCCCTGTTGAATGTTATCTTATATCTTTTATTCATATTAAATATGTTGTTCCTTCTCTAGCCTGAGCTTGTTCTTCATCATGTATTGGTAGTTGTTACGATACAGTGAGTTGGTGTGACTTCCACGTAAGATCTTATAGATTAGGCAGTTATATCATGGCAAATCTACAATTTTAGGATTAGGTCTATTATTAGAGCAGTACTAATATCATAGTAGACCATAGTTCTACAAATATACACACAATCCACACTAGCGTCCGCAAATTGACAGTTAGTTCTACATCTTCATTAGTGTGTAATGATCTACTTTTACCAAGAGAATGCGATTGGTTTAATGGAAACAATTATTATTATAACCAATCGTACCAGTGATTGTTTTACTGTGCTCGTTTCTTTAACTATGCTAAAGACAGCCTTAGTACTACTCCATTGATTGTGACCTTGCACAGGTTCGGTTACGTTCGGTAACCACGCCTGTACTCCTTTGGCATGATCTCGGTATCCTTTTGATACCACGAGATCGCCAACAAATACATCTCGACTACAGACATCAACTGACTATTGATATTTAGCTTACGGGGATTTTATCGATTAACTGGCTCGTAATCTTCTTGTAGTGGTGTTCATAGTCGACCGCGATTCGACTTCACGCTACAAGTGTTTGATGTTGTTGGTCTTGCCACTCAGTCACAGTGGTCCTGCATGCTTCGACAGGGAGTTTGAGGTTGATACGAAGTGCTGTTGCTTGGAAAATTAAGATTTATATGTATTATGCGTAGTGACATTTCTCACCTTCTATCCAGTGCCATTAATGAAAAATGATAGTCTCTGATAATGCATGACTATTGGATGATTCTTTCTTCTCAGAAAACGTATCACAAACACAGGGCTACCTTTGCTTCTCAGAAATATCGACTAGCATACAAAAAGTCCCGGAAGATGAACCTGAAAACGTGAGTTATTTAGAACCCATCCGATTCACAAACACCATACATAGATCAACCCAAACAACTTCATTAATACTTATGATGTTGCAAGTTAATATATTTTTGAATGACAGACAGAAACGTCATGTACGTAAAGTCAAATCCATTAGTCACTAAACGATGCTGTTTACCCTATTGCGGCTTATTAGAACATGTTCATATTTCGCTTCCCTTTAATTTTATGTTCTGTCGGCACCTTAGATCAATTTCTGCTATATTCTACACTACATATCCGTGCGATTTATTCCTCTGGCAGACTCATATACGACAAATGACTTGTTAAACAGTTTTCACGGTATTTCAAATCGCTCATACGAATATGTCATTGTATCGTCCAGAGAGTCACGATGCAAATGCATGTTATTTTTCTGTACTCTTATCAATTTGCTCATAATCACATGCCCACAATTCCTTTTTTCCTCTTCTTTACGATATTAATCTACTTCCTAACATAAGTATGACACTTTTGTATAATATACTGACCGCTCACGTGACAATACACTCCATTTGATATATTACAATTTTTCCGCTACTTATTGTTAACGTTAACCACATAACTCTTCTGTGTTGCTTTCGAAATTGGACGTCTTTTTGAAGCAAATGTACTATTTTTTACAGGAGGCTCTGTAGTTGCTGGTACTATGTCAACCCCACATTGGTTGTTGTAGCCAATTTATTTCTTATCCTCAAGCCGCAATTTGACCTTATCAATCATTCGCTTTTCAACCTTGACTGTTTTTGTATGCGAGTGTGTGTGTTAATTACTTGCTCACTTCACTAAAAATGGCATCTCTTAAGGTAAATGCCTTCTTGATCCCCTTCACAACAATTCGAACCATTCTGAATCGCTTGAGGCAGTTAACCACGACATGGTTCAGTTATATTCGTTTCAGACCTAGTGGTAAAAGAGAGCAAGATGAAGTGAGTTGCTTTACAATACAAGAGGTTTCTTCTAGGATCACCGTCAAAGGTTTCGCAGTGAAATAGAAGGGGCACCTATGATAACACACAGGTTAATATCCATATCGTTTTCATCGTTGTAATGTTTGGTGAATTCATTGTTTCGTCAGTTTTCGAAAGTAATGAGATCAATGTAAACGCCTTTAATATTAAGAAGCTGATGGAAACATTGGTTCAGAGGATTTGGTTATACCAGTTCTTTCTCGGTTTCCCATACAAATAGTCCAATTATTACCTTATACTTATGCCTCCAGCTTCTGAGAAATTCAAACAAGAAAAGCACTTATCCATAATCAATAAGGATTGTTCACAACACGGACGTTAAACTGAAGGAACAAACGATTTCTTTCTATCTCTCTTAGAAAACGTTTGATACTTGAAGACATTGAATGTGTGATTGCCTTGGTCAACAATCACTGCGCATTTCAAGGTTCTTATGAGTCATGACAACCCCGATACTGTATAGAAGATGTGTTAATTGGTAACGTTAACTTTATTATTACTACTTGTTAGCAAGGAAAATATAACAGAATTGAACTTCGATATACACGAGGCATTTTGCTGTCGAAATGTGATAATATGCCCAGATTGTGGTGTCAGCCTTCTGAAAACAAAGTTATTGGAGCATCAGCTGGATGAGCATAGTAAAATTAAGTGTACATATTGTGACTCTTTATTTCAAGAGTCCAGTGTTTTGGAACATGAAGTATGTGTTAGAATAAAAACTTATACATACTAGTTTATATGCCCTAGACGACTAGTGGAGTGCGCTTTTTGTAACTTGGGGGTGACCATAGACCTATTAGAAGACCACGAGTACACATGTGGTGCTAGGACAGAACGCTGCTCAGAATGTGGGGACTTCGTGATGCTTAAAAGCCGTCAAACTCATCGCTGTAAGAAACCCATAGGTAGTTGTGAATTATATACTAATAAAAGGTCCTAGAATGTCTTACAAACCTACAGAATGTATGTATACTTTAAATCTAGTACTTCAATTTCAGGATCTCGAGAAAGACTTCTGTGTGGCGTTGAATTTGCAATATGAAGATTACATTCAAAATGTACATTCCACAACACTCCAAAAACATATAAGAAGTCAGACTGACACCTCACATCATAAAACAACTGTTGAGAGACCGTCAAATGAAAATGTCGTGTAAGTTTGACGTTTCGTATTTGGCGAAATAATGTGTTGAGCTATTGGTTATTTAAAAAATTAGTTCGTTAGTACAACCGTAATGTCAGTACATGAGTATAGTGAAAGCGTCTCGATTAGCTTATTAACCTTTTAGTGTCTTTTTGCAAACTGCAATCTGGAGCCACGACAATTTGGATTAATAGAAGCATGAGTTCTTTCATGGTAAAAGGGATGGTATCATTTGTGTTTAAATGCTATGTCTTGTCACTTATTATAAAGGATTGAATGAACAAATTAGTAATATACGGCTGCAAATATGTATTCTACCTCGTATTGTTGTGGGACGACGTCAGAAGTGTCAGTTTGAGAATTCAAACTAAAATTTATGGATTGTAGCTAAATGTAGAGCGCAGGTTGCTCTTTTTGCCGTCTTGGACTCGTCGGCTGGGTGTACATGCTTCATAGTGTTTATATTCTTACTGGTACTCAAACCAAATATTGTTGATCCTCAGCAGGAGCTTCAGTCAGTAATGTACAACGTAAGACCTGGTACACGTTTACATTAGTCCAAGTTGCCGCGGCCCATTAACATAGCGAGATAAGATTGTCACGGTTAATACCAAGCAGTAGTAGAGGTAGCAACTGTATTAGGGGTGATAAAAAAGATTGGGCGCCGAAGCTACGATCCGAGAAGTGAATATAGATCAGTGGAATAAAAAAAGTAACTTAGGTAGTTATGAAACTTAGGATTTAAGGGAATGTAAAGAGTGAATTCACTTCTTGCATTACCAAAAAGCTCGAGCTATGTCACCGGGCCCTAACTAGGTGATCTGCACCACCTATATGACTCGATTTAGCAGTAAGTGCAAGTGTAGTCAATAAACTGGCAGAGTCTTACGTTTACGTCATACTTCTAAGATCTCCTCTATTTTGGATCTTGTTACGTGTTACTGATTTACCGAAATCTTATTCGCTTTTCTTGTTTTAGGGATGAATGGGAGTCAAATTCGATAATACCGTGTGAATTTTGTCATTCCTGTTATTCAATAGATATGATTCATGAACATCAAGTATGTCCTTTGTTTCCATGCAAATTGTTTTGCAATTGTTAGTTGACGTTTGAGTGTAATTGAAGTTTTTTCTGTGAATTACTGCGAAATATGTGTTATTTTTTGTTGTTTATGATAGGGTCATACAGACTAAAGATAGGGTTAAACAACTTGATCTCTGGCAAAAATATATGTCAATCTAAGTCAGAGCGTTTCTAATTCTCCAAGTAAAAGAAAATAAGAAGAAAAATCGAGTGGTTTTGGTAAAACACATATAGTTTTGAGCAACTAAATCCAAGAAAATTTTAAGGTAAACGAACAATGCTGTAGTAGTAAAAGTGTACGAACATCAAAAGCAAGGCTGTAAAGCGCACTGTCATTGCACGGAAACCCACTTAGTGTCATTTACGTACTATTATATGATATAGAGCCATTTTCACTGAATGCCTTGAATGAGTTTCCATCATACTAAGAACATGGTTACGATAAGTGCATAGTAAGCTCAGTCAACACTTGTTCACTCCAAGAAACGTATCATATCAGTATGTTAAAAAACGTCGAATAGTCTCTAAAAGACTATATAAAACTAGTCTATAGATTTCCTAATTGCTGATATATGTTTTACTGAGTTTTCAAGGCCTTAGGTAACCATATTCTGGCAAGCAGACTAAAATGAAGAATGTTAACCATCCAATTCGAATTTAGTGCCCTAGTGGTCTCATCCTTACCAAGAAGTTTCAGTCTTTACTTCCATAAATCACAGTGTTAAGCAGTCCTGAAACTATGATGAAACCGTTACTTAGTTTTCCAGATCATAACACTTTTTGATAAAAGTAACTCTTAAGTTATGGGGAAATGTTTGTTTTAATCTATGTTTTAATGTTTACTCTGATGAATAATTACATTCGTAGTTTACATGCAGAAACGAATATTGGCATTGATCGAATAAAGATGCGTAGTAAAACTCAAATATTATTAACATTCCTCTTTCTTTTTAGGAGAATAGGGGCTTATTATGTTCGAAATTTTATTACTGAATCACAGGTTTGAACCTCTGTCCAACGATTTTGCCTTATACATCTAGTTAGCACTACTTTTCTATATTATTCTAGTGTGATTCATACCAGAGTAAACAAATCTATACTTGTGAAGTAGGTTACATTGATCATAGTTTACTTCAGTGTTATAACTGTATAATACTTTATTTTTACTGGTAATAAATAAATAAATTGTTATAAATGGTTACTACAGGTTTTGTGTTTACTTGAAAATGATTCATTGATGTCGGCAACAGAAGAACAGACGAATAAACCCAACGATTTATGTAATCAAGTAACTACAAATACAGAAAGAACACCGAACTCTTGTAACATTTCACAAGCAGCTGGATCCTGTATTAACCCATCAAGTTAGTGGTTGTTCTAGTTGACTTTTAAAATATTTGCAATTTAACACTGAAAAACAATGTGATACATAACTGTCCAAACTGTTAACAATTACATTATATATATATATATATATATATATATATATATATATATATATATAAATTTCTTACATTGCAAGTACTTTCATCCAAATTTGAACGACTAGTTTTACAATAGTTGCACTCCGAATATTCATAAAGATTCCAGTGATTGAAATTCAGTTTCCTTCAATCTTCTTTTGGTATTTTGAATTGTTTGGATTGTATTCTGAACTAAGAATCCCCGAAATAACGCAATTAAATCAAGAAGTACTAGATGAGCACAAACGAATGTATTGTATTTAGAATTCGAAATCAAGCATTCAACAACTACAAAAGAATCATTAGTTAATTCTAACACCACACTTCTTCAAACTAATAACCAAATATCGAAATCTTTTGATACAAATATATAGTCCTTATATGTTCATACACTAATCTACTATTCTGCAACTCTAAACTAAAACGTGTTGCTGTATAGAAGCTCTATTGATCTGATCATAACTCAGTAGAATTCGAAATTGGAGTTTAGGTACCAAATAATTGTCAGTAAGTTCAAATCATGGTAAAAGTCCATTAAAAGTCCATGACCAGAATTCACACTAAGTTAATGTAACGAAAATTACACATCCCTAATAGGTTCACAAACTATGTCAACAATGTTGAATGTGAAGTTTGTCTTATTGTAGGCATATTTCGTTTAGTGTGAAATGTGGAGAATTTGTGCTAAGATATTTATGTATGTGTACATTGATCTGATTTAAGAAAACATTTATCAATCATTCATGGCCTTAGATTGTGAAAGTTGATACACTTAGAATTACATAATTCTGCGTAAACCTATATATCGATTATGCAATGTTTATTTAACTCACCATATTGACCATCAGTAGGTAGTATATATTTAAACATTACTGAACCGCTTAGTTCTATACATTGATTTTCACGTTAGTTTATTTGAACTAGGTTTCTATTTATCATAGATTTTAGTATTTGACAAAACTGTTAGTTATGCTTAAAAATTAACGTTACATTGTGTTTGAAAGTAGCAGAAAAAGAAATTAATAACAACTACAGCATATATATGTTGTGGATAGACCACGTGTTACTCGTGATATACGTAAGTGGTTAAACGGCCCCAAATGCCCTGGTACGGTCAAGAGTGGGGAGAGTCCGCTCTCCCTCTCAAAATGCGCTCACATGGCCACGTGTTTTCAGCCACTCACACGGAAGTCCTACCCACTGCCTTCTCGCACCACTGGTGTTGTTTACGAAGTTGAGAGGACGAAAAGCGAATGTCCGGAGCTTTAAGCGGGTTGATGGACACAGAAAGCCCACCTAGGAAGTTGGAAAACCCTGATTCTAAACCAATGATGCACATGGGCCCCAGGATCCTGAAGGAGAAAACGGCGTATGAACCAATCGTTGATGACCGGCTATCATGGGACTGCATCTTGTGACGTTACTCCACTGCCTTGTGGATCAGACCTTTAGGTCGAAGGTTCAGCGTGTGGCCCCCTAAGGAAACCACTTGCTTCGGTTTGGGCACGTGAGCAGTATTACAGCCCTCACACAAATCAAATGAGAATTGTGTGGCGCGTATGTATATGGTGCCTCCTTGTACCAATATCTATGTGTCTAAATAAATAAAATAAATAACGTGGTTAAACGACTGTACTGATGTATTTGGTTCCGTCCGTTAAGAATATATATGTCTATTTAAAACACTAACTATTATTTGTAAGTACATTTCATTGAAAACTAACACCATTTAAAAGAATCATTGGAAATAAACAGTTAGTGCAACAATGAATCTTCATTAATTGAGGTGATTGGGGTATATATTACATGTCCGTAATCACTGCATACCCAAACGATTAGTTATATATTGGAATAAAGCTGGGGTGGACAAATTAAGACGTGGTATCGACCCATGAATTCGTAAACTGTTAGACTGATCCATGAGGATATGTGTTCATTACCCAGTTGGTGTGATATGGCTCAGAAATGGTGGTAATGGCACTGATTCATTCACTTTTTCCATCCCCTTAGATCCTGAGTTTTAAAATGACCTTATTCTTTTATTCCACAGATTTATGCTTTTTTATGGAATCATAATACATATACATTGTCTCTTCTACTACCGTTGACAGTCTTACTACTTCGTCAACTTTGGTTTTTGGCTTGAAAATTTCATCTTAATGTGCTGATATGGCATAGAAAATTGAACTGACGCATGTGTTTCAGTAATCAATTCCATGTATGGATGAATTAGTGCTTTTTGAATATGTCATCGGTTCTCTAGTTATCGTTATTTAACGTATAAATTACTATTCAAGTTAGGTGTATCAAAAATAAAGTAATTATTCTACTGATGACATGAAGTACTTGACACAATTGTACCAGCAACGCACTAGATGAAGAGAAATAGCAATATTATAGAGGAATAGGAGAGAAGAAAACTTTGGAAATGAAAAAATTAAGAACCAGTAGAAATTCCGTATAAGTAAAACACAACAAAGGTTTTTTAGTCTAAATGTGGATCATGCTGTTTACAGCAGAATTCCCGTTGGTTCCCAATAAAACGTGTCTATCTAGGTCTCCTGCTACTGATGATAATTAAGGTTCCTTCTAAAGATTCAAGATGGAAAAACAGATACTAATGTAACACAGATATTCTTGACTTTACTACACTTTAAGGTAAACTGACTTCCACGAGTTCCCAGCGTCGTCAAATAACTGGCTCACTATAACCTCATTTTCAAAACTTTCTATTATTAGTTTTTAACTACTCATGTTTATCCAGTAGTATACAGCGTCATGCTTACATTGATACACATTAGCCTGACCCAAAATTATGCTAAGTTTGAGGTTGTATCGGCTTAGGCTCTGTCATTAATCTATGATTTTAGCACCTGACAAAGAAAATCATGAATTTTTTCTTGGGATTTTCCAAATTTCGGGAAATTTACATCAATGAATCTGTGTAAAATGCATCGAATTTTATTATTATTATTATTATTATTATTATTATTATTATTATTATTATTATTAATGGCTTTATTCAGTATTATTTAGGTGTTTGTTGAGATTGTTAAATTTTTTATTTTATATCGCTTAACCAGTGGGATTCAACCTTGCCGAACATAAGAAAAGTATCGTCGACGGGATTAGATGGTGGGCATACAGCATCGCAAATTAAGTGAAGTTAGACATTTGATACACTGGTTGTTGCCTCAGTGATGTAAAGGTTAGGCTCTTTCCGTAAATCCTGAAAGTTCTGGGTCTGATCCCTGGGGGGTTTCACTACAGAGGTTGAGTCCTATACTAGGAAAAAATAGCTGTCAAGTGCTTCCTGGTTTTTAACGGCTGTTTCAATAAAATCAGTTCTTGATGTAAACTTTAATGTATCTAACAGTTAACATTACAGTGATGGACTCAATTTTTACCTATAACTTCACCGCTGACTTTCATTATCTTTGTATGTGTTCTTTTCCTTTTCCTTCTTTAATGTTATTGTCATTCCGTTTTTTTCGTTATATATTGTAGAAGCGTGTAACTAATTAATCTAACGACCCCTTTCTGGAATTATATTCATAGTGCCGGTAGCAGCTGTTTATTTCTTAAATGAAGTAGAAATATGTATTTTTGTAATTTGTATACGAAAACTTTAAATACAAAACTCAGCGATCAAATGCACATAGGATTCAAGTTGCCATGCCTCATATTGGCACGGTAGCAGGGAGATTAGTCAACAATGATGAGTGACAGAGGAGAAGCAATAATTTACAATTGATTGATCACCAATGTCGCATTTATTAAGTCCATTAGTAATGCCCAAATTCTGTCGATCGAATTGCAACGCGACTACCTGTAATCAATCAATTGAAACTATCTCAGTCCTACAAGAGCTTAATAGCGACTTGAACAGCGCACTGGTACCGTCTCAGAATATAAAGCTAGGTTAGATAAACTTGAATTTCACTGTGAGAACCCATTTCCTGAAGATTGCAGGTACCCTGGTTGAATACCTCTAATCACCTAACATTGGAATAAACCATTTCAAATCTTTTGGCAAACTAAACATGCTGAATAATTTACGAAATAATATAGTCTATAGTGAGAACGGAATAGCACAAAACTCGAAATTTGGTAGATAAGAGAATGAATACAGCTACGGCAAGTTGAGACCATATTACTTAAGGTCTGTAAATGTACAACATGATTATTCAGCATATCATAGTCGACAGGACTCACTTCAATATGTTATGGTTTCTCTATAAATGCTATACCTTCATATGGTCGCCCTTAGCTTTATTTGATCTCCTCCTATGCCTGTGGTGTATGCTACTTGTGTTGACACATATAAGCAATATATTAGCACCAACTGGAAGTAGGAAGCCTGCGATCAGGAGATTGAAAAGACTAAAATGAAGTGAAGAGAGAAGAAAACTAAAAGCAATCAAGATGACAGCAGGACTAAAGGAACAATCAAGTTTGTCAGAAACAATTCAAAGAAGTGCAAATGATGTTCTGAATGTATAGTTTTCACATTTTACTAAATCACAGAGCAATCACATAACTATCGGTACCAGCAAAACGTTTCAACAGATTGTTACTGAACCGGATGAAAGATTCGGTAGACGTCCAAACTAAGTTCTATCTAAGGAGGAAATTGGGAAAATCGCTTGCCTGGAATCCTGAAGGGACACGGAAAAGAGAAAGACCGAAGGATACACTACATTGAGAAGGATGAATATGGACTGGGAAGGATTGCCCAAGATAAAGTTGGATGGAGAATGCTGGTGAACAGTCTATTCATTAAACAATAAATCGGTCATCCCACTAAGTCTTCGTTCACTACATGTCAATCAGTATCAAATGTCGTGGTAGGCAGGAGCTGGGCATACATAACATATTTCAGCACCTTAGTCAATCGATTTTTCCAGTAATAATCTAACATCAGCATTAATTATCTGGTTTTTAAACCAAACGTGAATAATGCTTTTAAGTCCTCTGTCATCAAATATTTACAACTTTTGATTTCACTGATTGAAATCACGAGTCAATTGAAGCTAGACCACCATGGAAAAGCCGGAAGCATTGGACGGCCGTTTCGTCCTAGTATGGGACTCCTCAGCATTGCGTATCCACGATCTCGTCAAGTGCTTCCAGGTTTTTCATGGTGGTCTAGCTTTAATTGACTCATGATTTCAATCAGTGAAAGTACTATATCGATTATTAAATTCTAAATTAGATTGTATCAATTTTGTTACTTGTTAATTATTGACTATCTTATCTATTCTAGTGATCAATTCTATAAAAGTACAATCTAAAAAGTTTCCTTCCACATCCCAACAATTAAAATCAACCAATAGAAAATCTGTTCAATGTTCTACATCATCATCAACATCCTCGTCATCATCATTAACATTACCACAAAACAATACAAAACATATTAAAACTTCAATGAATCCATTTTTTTCTTCCAGAATGAATAACAAAACTATTTCAATGAATAAGAATAAAGATCCTTTAAAATAGTAAATAATCCATCTAAAAATTGTTTTATCACTAAAACTGTAAATCATTCACTTGATTCAAATTCATCATTAAATTTACAAAAGATAAAGAAAAATAATACAATAAAATCTAAAGGTTTTTCTAAGTAGGATTGAATGAATAAGTCAAAGAAAATGATGATGGAATAAATTGTCAATGGATTTTAGAAATTGATTTTGTTCATTCAATCATTTAAATGATCATTCTATTTACTTCAAACAAATCCAGTATATATTTCCTTCTAGTACATCAGATTTCTTGATATTATAATAATTTCAATAGTTGAGATCATGAGTCAATTGAAGCTAGACTAATATGGAATACTTGGAAACATTGGACAGTGAGAGATTGATAGGTTATAAATTTGAATCTCACAAGGCAAGATTGTGAATATGCACTGCTGAGTAGTAGTCCCATAATAGGACGAAATGACCGTCTAGTGCTTCCATGTTTTTCATATTAGTCTAGCTTCAATTAACTATTCATGATTTCAACTATTGAAATTATAATAAGATTTTTTGATTAAAATAAATTCATTATCTTATTTCAAAGCTTTTTGTTAGGTCCCGATAAACATAATGAATGGTAAATTTGGGATCCTTTTATGGACTAATACTAAATGTATATTTTTATTGTTTAATTATTAAATAACTAAACTATTCATATTCATGTTCCTCTTATTACAAGCTTTATTTTGACCTATTAACCATTATTATACGTTTGTTTATCAGTTACTGCCTCCCGCATTCACAGCCACATTTGGCCAAATTTTGTACAAATGTTATTTTCTATTTTATGGTACGTTGTGGTCGGTTTGATTGGTATACAAACTTAGTATGTTTGAAATATGATGATTCATATCGCAGAGGCTCGGATTGATGTTCAGGGCTTAACTGGCTGGGCTAGGCGGAAAGCAGGGCCTATCAAGACTCTAGGCTGCTTATACGGGTTTACGCGTCCTTGACCCGATCGATAAGTCACTGCTCTCTAATCGGCGGTCACAAGTTATAACACTTTCTCTTATCATTTTCAAATAACTTAAAATTATAAATAGTCGTATTTTTCTAAACAAAGTTTTGATATTAATTAATCCTTGATATTCTTGACGTTTTATTGTGAGAATTTGTATATGATGCAGTTCAGATATGCCAATGTAGTTAAATTGTTATCATCGATCATATTAGATGGTCGTTATTACTGCATTACAAATTAATTGAAATTGATAGTGTACTATTGACAGCTGACCGAGTGCTTTTATTGATGAAACTGTAAGGTCGTGATTTCAACTCATGATGAAATTGTGGGTGCCCACTTTTAAGTAATCCCATAATAGGTCGAAACAGATGTTCCTAGTTTTCAATAATACCCAGCCAAGATCAATCTGTTGCGAATGCAATCTACAAAATCATAATTCAATTTTTTTTTGCATTGTCCCGTTGTTGCTATTTTTGACTGAATTTTGATCGATCTTAGTTGGAATATGTGGTTCCTGTGTGGGTTGCCTTGATATAACCATTATGTCTCAAGCCTTTGTACAGCAAAATGGCGTTTGGTTTGCGATGTTCTGGGTTTGAACCATTAAGTAAATATCAACTCCGAAATGAGGGTACATTCAATTAACAAGCTTCAAATACGAATTGTACTGCTAGCCACATCCCATCTATCCTTCAAATTCATGTCACTTCAGCTGATGTTGAGTGATCCTAGTATCTGACTTCATTTGGATCGTATGAATGATTGTTATCAAAATATACATGTCGTCAATATTCGCATACATTTATCGACCTAACTCGTGTTAGTGCATGACGGAATTAAATAAGTGAAATACGAGAATGGATTTTTGTATACGCATATTTCGTACAATCGTTAATCGGAAACCGAAGCAAATGAAATGACGCGTGATGGAGAATGTGAGTGAACTAACTCGATTTAACCAAGCATGTATCAATATTTATAGTCGAACAAATGGATGAATCTCGCACCGAAATCCAAAACTTGTTATCCTAAATCTGATTGGTTCGTCTATTAGTTGTAGTCTCGTCGAGGATTTAATGTTTATTCTATGTATGTAAATATATGTTCTAGAAATTCCTTTCTATAAAACAATGAGTTATTTTATTTTAAACAATTATTTCACAATGCAGCTATAAAAGTACTCGTAATAAAAGTTACAAATACTTGCCAAAAAAAGAAATTCATAGAGAATTACATATATCCTAATTCCATAGACTCAGTCAGTCAGCTACAATGTAGGACCAGGCACATATATGCATCGGTCCAAGTTGCCACACCTCATTAACACAACAAGATGAACATCAAATTCATTAAAGTAGTCACTTCAATGGTAGTTATATATAAAAGAAAGATTTCATATAAGGATACAGTACAATAAGAAGGGATAGAGTATACACCAACGCCATTGTGATCGATTTTGGGCCATGTCACCTAGAGTTTCCAACCATTGATTACGATCGTAGCACAAACCCCAATCAAGTAGTCTGCATCTACCAACATGGCTCAGACTAGAAGTTAGTGACTTCAAGCACTGATGCCACGTTTTGGTTTGGCTGCTCCTAACTTTCTTCCAACCATCTCCATAGACTTAGTCATCTTTATTGTCTCATCGAAATAATTCTAAGTGAATTTTCTGAAATCTATAAATAATTGATATATACACTTGTTTAGTTATCAATGTTTGTTGTCTTATTTTCTGTTATTAAGGTCTATTCTAAAATAATATAGATTACATCTTGACTGCTGTTAGAGGCATGAAGGCGGTTATCACTTCCCGGTTGCCCACACCGTGGAAGGGTTCTCCTAGAGGTACCTGAAAAGGAAATCGGATTAGGGGTGGTCTTACTGACCTGATAGCGTGACCGGAGTGCCTAAGGGACAAATGCTTGAGGTTGGTCACACACGACCTTTTTATGAGTAATTTTTGTGCTAGCTCTGCACTTGTTGAGACCTTACCGCCGGAGACTGATATCGTGGGATAAGGTGAGGTGTGCATTTTTAGGGTCGATTTTTTCTAACCCTACCCCTCCTTGTGGGAAGGTGGCACCGCTGTCATGCTGGTTGTCTGAAGGAAACACCTTACTGCTGTCACACCTCTGTACAGTCAGCAGTACGACTTCGCCCTCTGACTTTGAGTTTGTTGCTTTTAGTTATACCGCTCTTCAACCGACCTGTCTGACATGGTAGGACGTTGAGGAACGGTTGTTCCAGCCAGTATCGCTCGACTGCTTCATCACGGTAGGCAAGACCGACCATCACGTCAAGGTAACAACAACGGTCGGGTATAGATTATATATTTGATTTTTGACAATTGGGCATTTTTCTCAAGGCTTCCAAGTTGAAGTACTTTTTCAGTTGTTTTTTTTTCGAAAAATGAAATTTCCAACACTTCTTAGTTATGATTATGTAACAAATTGTTTGTACATCTGTGCACTGCAACAATTTATATCACTTATCAAATTGTTAATATGGCTTCCACTATTCATTTTTCATTTCAATCTGGGATGCCATTCCAATTGTATAAAAAGACAGTAACTATCCGAGAATAGTTCCTTAGTAGTAGTCAGATACAACTTCTTTCTATTAAGCTATGAATTTTCGTTAAAATGTAATTCATTATTATATTAGCTGTTTCCATTTTTCTCTGTGAACATAGACGTTTGTCATTTTGTTGGACGCTGCCGACTGAAAGCTCATTAATTAGCTTACTTACTAGCTAAGACAATTCATCTTTAAAAATAAATTCGCCGAAAAAAGAACTCTTCACTGAACTAATCTTTCTTATTTAACATATTAAAACACTCAAGATTGACAAGCGAATAATTAAAAACATCAAAATGCCAAGACTGTATTTCGACAAATGGGTGAACAAATTTCGCACCAAAATCCGAGACCTGTTATCCTAAATCAGATTGGTTCGTTCATAAATTATAGTTTCGCCGAATAAATAAATTAGCCTGTTCGGAAGTTAGAATAGGCTATGTGAGTCTAACGTAGCACTACAATAACAGTACAGAAGACCTCCACTTGATCTCTATAAGGCTCTATTATTTTGAATACATAATTTTTATTTTGCAACACAATGAAATACATCATTTTTCGATCAAATAAACAACAAAATTATATACTATAAAAAAAGTGTAGTGGCTGGTCTTAAACCGAGCCCACATAGCTTATTATAGCTTCCGAACAAGACAGTTTATCCATTCTTCTCAGGCTACATCATGACGTTATTATTATTCACATATGAACTCTGACTTTACATGAACGTCTCTGTGTATACATCCTATCTTACTCATCGCATGTCTGTAGCTTATTTTGTGTGACTATAAATATTGATTAAATCGAGTTGGCTCATACAACTTCTCCACTGTGCGCCATCCTGTTTCACTTTCTCTTCTCCTTAACTACGTCTCTCTGATTATCTGTTCCGATCAATAACTGTACAATATATATGTATTATAAAATTCATTCTCCTATTTGACTTATTGAATTCTATTATTCGCGAATGCGATCTAAGTCGATCATTATATACAAGGATTGACAACAGCAAACATTCATACAATCTAATTGTAGTCAAATCTCGAGCCACAAAAAGGAAATAAGATTATTCACCTGGTATTTTTGCTTGTATCTTCCCATTGAGGTTTAAGACTGCGATTGATCAGTCTGTAGCTGAGTGGATAACGCGATGGCGTTTGAAGCGAATGGTACTGGGTTCCAGTCCCAGAGTCAACATCAAGCTGACGAGTCCCAAATAGGACGTAACGCGCATCCTTGATTCCACTGCTAGCCACTATCCATCTTTGCTTGGAAATAAGATTAATTCAGTTAAAAAGGAAATAATACCATTATTAATTTTGATAAAATATTACATTTAATTAGAATAAAATTAAAATAAATCAATGTAGCGTGACAATAGATTATTAGTTAAGAGTAAATATAGTTCTTATCAAAGTTACCCCAGAAAATAATAATTATGATCTTACTAGAGATTTTATTTCTTTTCTTTTCTTTTTATCTAATTCAAGTATTTGAATGAAGTAGAAATGATCAATTTAGAAATTGTCTAAAGTAAAATTTTTAAAAAAGAATTTATTCTTAGACTATATATAGTTTTAATGAATATATTAGATAATATTAAGCAAGACTACATGGAGGACAGTTAACAAACTCGTTTGAAGTAAAAATCGATTTCAGGCAAGGTTGCTTACCCTCACCTTTTTGTTCCTCCTGGTGATCGACTGGATCAACATCTGAAGGGAAGCATAGGATACAGTGGACATCTATGATGCGG